TCCTGTGAGGGCTCACACCATCTGGCATGACTTACAGGCCGTCAGTACTCTCCTCCCCACCTAGGGGGGGAAATAGATCACAATCCCTTGCGGCGGTGTATATTTACTGGAACAGACTGACTTGCGTACGCTGAACGATGCAGGATGAACAGCAGCGATGCGGGAGTTGCTATATTGACAAGACGTCTATACAGTTGGCCTCTGTCGTGCTACACATCAGTCTGCCTGCAACACTGGACTCTCTTATCTGTACTCAGGTGAGACATTCTGGGCGATCATGTATATTTGACGCACTGCCGCAATGATAATTAGTTTGCATGTTTTTGAGGATGATACGGTGGCTAAGGTCACTGTATCGAAGGCAAATCTGGATGTGTTTTTTCGGTTTGTTGGGCCCTGCCCCGTTCTTTGTTGCTTCGCTGTTTTGCTTTGAGGCGAAACGCAAATCTGGCTGGGGGATTTGCGGGTCGTTTTTGGGTTTTGTTGTTTTTTGTTTGGTTTTGTTTTCGTGATGATTTGCCAAAGTTTTTGGACCACACGTGTCCTTGTACATTACTGCTTTTCACTGCTTACGCAATTGTAAGGACCGAGCCTAGTGCGACATCGGCCAAACCGGAGGAAAAAAAAAAAGTCGGTGTTTGCTTCGAAGTGCATGGATGAATATCATGCCGGTACGGCTGCTCTTTGTGATCTCGGGGATCCTGGCTGGGGGGATCCCCGGTTTCCGCATGGAGCTTTTGTTGCTTCTATCACCCGATGTGGCCCATTGGTGTGTTTTTGTTCGGTTCTGTTTTGTGTTTTATTCTGGGCCATTCTTAGGATGACACATAAGATGTCATCGTGCATGGAATTCCAACTGCTGGTTGCAATCCTGTCATTGTCCTTTTTTGGCCGTTTCTGTTTGGGTGTTGGTTTTGGTTTTTGTTTGCTTTTTGGTTCCTTTTTTGGTTTGTGTTGTCTTTGATGGGATTGCCCACTGGACTTTGTATTGGTCCACTACCAGCTCTTTTGAGGCTGCTGACTCTTTTGACAGCCTTGCAAGCAATTACAATTCAGCTTGTCTGCTGCGGTTGAACGTTTGTAACGACCTGGCGAAAGCCATGAAGGCGTTGGACGGAAAAAAAAAAGGGTGAGCTCCTGGGCAACTGATCTCGGGAGGCGATGAATCCCAACTTCCTTCTCGGACATGCATAGGCTAGACAGCTTGAACATGTAATCAGGCTTAAAAAACACTTACGGTACTGGAGCACAGAGACCCAGTTTCCCGCCAACCTTGCAAATAGTGCTGACGTAATTCCAGGCAGGGCAGCTGCTGGTCTTAGGATTGCTCAAGGCCTGCCGCTTTATTTTTCGTGTTTGTTTGTTGTTTTGTTTGTGTGTTGCTTTTTTGGTTTTGTTTACTTTGTTTCTGTTTGGTTCTTTTTGTTTCATTCGGCATCGTGATGACCCCATAGGACTGTGTACCTGGTTCTCCACTAGCACGGCCTTTTTCCATTCATCTTTTCACCAAGATGGCTGAGTTTCACTGCATTAATTAATGTGCCTCATGCAATAGCATGTTGATCGACCTGGCGAAAGCTAAGAGGATCGACGGAAAAAAAAGTGGGAGGATTAATTTTTACACCGGTAACAATACCGGCAAACAGCGTGGTGCACCTTTTTGTTGAGATGTGTGAACCAGGTATCTTGTCGTTAAACCTGAGCAGTGCTGCAGTCGTCCCCAAGAAGTCCATTCAATCAAAAAGGATCGTACAGTTTCAACAGATTCAGCTGGGATGCTCAAGCTTGGATCAAAAGTTGCTGAGCCTACTTGTGAGGCAAATACAGAGCTCAAGTTGCGCTCAGCCTGGCAGCGCAACCTGGCCATGGATCTGGCCAGCGTGGCCAGCTTTGAGATCATGGGTGGACACAATTGCTGTTCTCCCACTTTCTTCGAGAACCTAACTACGGCGAGCGGGACCCACATTTTGTGGAATGTCCTGCAAGCACCTGGGTTAGCGGCTGTGCACCTAGGTCTGCCCTGTGGCACAAGCAGCAGGGCGAGGGAGCTTCCTATGCAGCGTTGAGAAAAGCAGGTGTTCCTGAGCCACCACCGTTGCGCTCAGCCCAACACGCCTGTGTTTGCCAAATTTGGCACAGCACCATCAATGCAAATACTCTGTATCGGCTGGCCATAGAGATTTTGGTGTGGTGCCATGTTCATGATATCATCATCAGCATCGAGAACCCAGCCAACAGCTGGCTTTGGGCAGCTCTGGTTGCACTAGCTCTTGAACATTCACAAGAAGCAGCTCGCGCTTTGGGAAACTTCAGATGGTCCTTTTTCATGCATGCTGTCATGGTTCAACAAGACGCAAACATACGGGATGGCTTTCAACACCTGGCGTCTATGAGGTGTTGGGCGCCACATGCCAGAATGACCAGGTCATTTTCCATCAGCTCAACGCTGAAATCGGGTTCAAGTCCCATTTATATAACGTCATTGAGGGGTATTTAAATCTATGATTTTTTCTGCATGATTTTCTTGTTTGTCATCCGAAATACAGATATAATTAAATGATTTGCTTCCAAAATCGGATGGTTGAACAAATCATAACCCCGGCAAGAGACCCCAAACAGTGTGGGGGGAGTAAAAGGATAATGTTTCATAATGTTTTATAATGTTATATATATATATATTTTATAATGTTGATGATGATGATGGTAATGTTGATGATGATGTTGATGGTGATGGTGATGTTGATGATGATGGTGAGGATGAGGATGAGGATGAAGATGATGATGATGATGATGATGATGATGAGGATGATGATGATGATGATGATCGTGATGGTGATGGTGATGGTGATGGTGAGGATGATGATGGTGCAGGTGATGATGATAATGCAAGTTTCCTTTGTGAACGATTGTGCGCTAAATCTCCTGGACAGGTTCTGTGTAGAAGCTGCTGTTCCAGATCCCTGTGTAGGGCTATCTGTACAAGGTGTCTATAAGAGATCTCCACCAAAGATCTCGGTGAGGCATCTCAAAGTCAGATTTCTATTCAAGCTCTATAGACAAGCTACTGTACAAGATGCCTGTGTAAGGCTATCTGTACAAGGTGTTTAAGAAATCTCCACAAATGATCTCTGTGAGGGGTCTCAAAGTAAGATCTCTAGGCAAGATCTTTAAACAAGATCTTTCAGCAAGGTCTCTGCTCTCTTCACCAGGTCTCTGTACAAGATCTGCCACAGAGGTCTCCTGGCAAGATCTCTGTACAAGATCTCTATAAGCGCTCTCTCTGCACAGACCTCTTCAAAAAACAGTCTTGGAAAGACCTCCGAACAAGCTCTCCATCAGAGGTTTCTTGGCAACATCTTTGAGCAACTTCCCTAAAACTGGTCTCTTGGCAGTCGAAAAACAAAAGGACATGTCACAAGAGCCAGTATAGACGGGAAAATGCAGGTGCCATGAAACCCATTTCGTGCGACCCTGCGCAAGCGAAACGCACATGGACATTTCGCAAGAGCTATTTTCTGTGGAAATTGACAAGGAAAAGGCCGGACACTAATCCCGCGGACAGCATTTTGTGCGAGCCTCCGCAATCTAAATGTATATGGACATGTCACAAGAGACGTTTTGTGCGGAAATTTACAGGGAAAATGCCGGACGCTTCTGATACCACCTCCATTGAACAGCGGCCCTTAACTGTTACCGTAAGAACCCCTCAGTGTGGCTACACTGTTTGGGGAAAAACTGACCTTTAATGCGTTTTCCCTGTCGCAACTTACCAAAGGTGATCTTTGAAATATTTTTTTTCCAACATTTGGATGCTTGAAAATTGGGCCAAATCATCGTGGCTGTATGGTCCTTTATATAATCTTATAGGGATCCCATCTGACTGACCCTTGGCCCGTGCTGTCATGAGCAGTCGCATCGGTGAGGCGTCTGAACCTCTCAACTCGCCGAGGTGAGCTGCTGAAAAAATGGGCACTGTTTTTAGCCTACAGTGTCATCAAAGATGGGGAAATCCCTCAAATATATCGAGGTTGAACCTGGTTTAACATGGTAATCTCACATGGTTGGAAAATCCGGACAGCCTATGGATGATTTTCCCAGCTATCAACCCCCATGGATAGGGGATTTTCCAGCCATCTTTGATGAGGACAGTAAGCGGATACAGGATGGCCATGATGCTGGTTGGTTGATCACTTAGGCGGTTATTTTTCATAGTTTCTTTTCGAAAACATGGTGGAATGAGATTGAGATCTGCATATTTATTTTGGATGCCCATTGATTTGGGAAATTTGAAAAGTAACAACATGTCTCAAGTGAACATTGCCCTGGCGCGTGAATCACTGAACAATTGGTTCGATTCATCCCTGACCATAGTTCTGTATATTCTTGGGGTCATGTAACTTTATAAAACCAATGAGACCCAATAAAACAAAATCCCTGAGATAAAAACAATGTTGAACTGTATTCTTTTGATATAGTCCATGAAACTATAAATCATGTGTTTTGAACTATAAAAACCACATTGAAAACATGGTGACCAACCCCCCTATTTGGACCTTTCCATCATCTAGTGGTTGGGGAGCTTCGAGCTACGAATGGAGTTTCCCACTTGTTTTTGTTGTTTGGGGGTTATATACATGTTCCAATCATATAGATTAGACTTGGGGCAAACTATGAACATTTTATTCGCTGGCTTTGCGGTGGACACGTGTCGGGTATCTTGGACTGCCAATTTTTCGCAATGAATCATGGCTCCTTTCCAATGTGTGATGGAAAGCCAAAGGGTCGCACTTTTTGCGGCCAGAACAAATCATTCAGAATGCTGAGAAAACCATGCGAGGAAAAAAACAACAGACATATTGTTATTACTTGTTGTAATAACTATTCAATTTTTCATCCATTCGGTCTATTCCAAAAATATACTTGACTTGAATTTAGATCGAAATGGTCTTGCAAGTGACTTGACTCACCAATCCCTAGAGAAAGGGTCCCACAACTTTGGGTCGGCACAGCGTGCTTTCAATTGGGCCCATGCCATGGGCGAGCAACTGGCGTCCGCGATCTTAGAAGCTATGGGACTTCATTTAGGCACCAATTCGCCATTGTATCAGTATTCAAAACCATATTATCCCATATGAATCTCATATCAATCCCATATTTATCCGTACATTTATCCCATTTTTTTCCACCTCTTTGTTTTTTCCATGACATTCCCCATATTTTTTTTGATCGCGCGAAACGCGCACCGTTTTCTAGCACCGTTTTGAGGTCCTCATGGTGGCGCGTCAGAGATGTTTACGACATGCTCTGGAAGATGGTCATCCGGCCTCCCAGAGATCTGTGCGCCGAGCTGTGGTCTGAAGTCGTCATGGGGGGGGATCCCCGTGCCATGGTGGTTTCAACACGATGACTTTTTCCTGGTAAAATAACTTCTACTTGTCACATAAAAGTCACATGTTCATGCTTGTTTTAGTCAAATTCCATGATGGGGAAAAAAATGAAAATGACTTTTCTATCTTTTTGGTCATAAGAAAACCTTGATCCATTCATCCAATATGGTTTGGAATTGCTTCCCTCCACCCCAATTGATGTCATCCATTTGGTGAAAACTACACCACAAACCTCATCTGGTTTCAACATGTTTCAATATGTTTTTTTTTTGTATTTTCAACAAAAAAGCCGGACTTTCATATGTTTCGGGTTGACGTGCCAAACATTTTTTCATCCGGAACGGACAACTCTATGGACGCAGGTACACAGAGGAAGAACTCGGGCCAGACAAATTTCGTCTTGGAAGCTTGGTGGGAGAAGTTCCGCAGGTCACGAGTTCCGATTTTTTCGTTCCGAACTGGGCCAAAACTTCCTAGAGATCCTAGAGGAATTTGGTTTTAAAAAAACAGACTCACCAAGTCACTCGCCGTAATTCTACGGGATTCATCCGAGACAATTGAACTACTCAATGAAGAGATTCAATGGGGATTTAACTGTTTGACAGATTCTTAGAGTCATGAAAACTAAATATGTCATAGGAAAAACCACGGTTTCCGGTTAAGATTTTCACTCAAACCATTCCATTGAATCGTGAAGAGTGGTTGGTTTCCCCATGATCATCCCATGATCATCCCATATAATCTCATGATATTCCCAGAAATCCATAGAAATCCTACGTAATCACCATATCAATCCATTGAAAGATGCTTGGCATGGGTTCACTTGGTCGCCCTAGGCAAGAAGGTCTTCATTCGAAGGGATTTGGAGCTCACCAGCAGCCGAGGCGACCATCGAATGGGCGAGGCATGAAACTCATATGGGCTTAACATGGTTCAAAATGTGGGGATATAGTAAAACCATAGGGAAACCATAGGAAAACCATAGGAAAATGGAGGTTTACCCTCTGGTTATGACTAACATAGCCATGGAAAATCACCATGCTATTAATAGGTAAACCATCTATTTCTATGGGCCATCTATACCATGGCTATGTTAAATAACCAGAGGGTATCTAGTTTCTGGAATGATTGTTGGTTTGCGAATAAATATACCACCTACAATAGGATGATAGGAATATTTTCTGGTAATCGAGCATAGCTATGGAAATTCACAACTTGTGTTGAGCAAATCATCTATAAATGGGCCATTTTTTTAAATCAATTCTTCATAGCTATGTTAAGGTAAATCAGGTGGAGCGGGGTGTCGATAAATCACTTGGGAAATGTAAACCCCAGATTAATAAACACTAGTTCACTACTGTAGCTGATTGCTATATAGTAAAATGATACCCCCCAAATTAAGCAGCCCAGGGGAAAATGCATCCATGGTTGAAATTATGGATCAGAGCTGACAAAGGAAGACAGGTTTTCTTTGGGGTCTTTTTGGGCCACAATTTTGATGCACACCCACATGGAAACGGACATCCTGCGATTGTGGGTTTTTCCACAAATAAAGGACCCCCATTCCAGTCCAAAGGTTTAGAACCTCAATTTCCCCGTTCTTTAATGGGTATTTCATGAGCTTAATTCCTTTATTTTCAAGCAAACCCAACAATATTGCAACAATCATATTTAATTAATCATATCAAGTTGTTGATGTATTCCCATCATGATATTCCGATATTCCGATTATATACATCCTCATTCTTCTTGGTTTATTCTTCTTGGTTTGATACGGCTAAATCCCCATAGAATCACCATGAAATTAGGGCCTATAACTTGGGACGGTGATGGCTAGGACAGCTGAAATGCAGCCACTTCTTGCCTGCCAAAGGGACCTCCGAGGCACTTCTTGGGCCGAGTTCGAGTGATGTTGGAGTTCCCAAACTAAGATCGCTATCGAAAGATTATGATTATGATAATCAATGGATTGGTTTAAGGGACAATTTACAGGAAACCATGGTTTTTTTCCATTAAATATGGGGTTTTCCTGAACATTTACCCCTAAACCAATCCATTGAGATAGATACCAGATAGTTACTAAGATCATTAACCATGGTATCTATCATAATCTTGCTTTTCCAACCACTAAAATAGCTCATGATAGATATAGATATAGTTTTTATATTTTCAGTTGGATTTTCCCATCCACATGATTGATACCCTCTGGTGAACTAGCATAGCTATCGTGAACTAAACGGGCCATGGCTTCCAGTTGGCAAACTGGTAGTCATTCCCAGACGGTAGATGTCCATAAATATTGCACCACATTGCCACTGTTGGCCAAAAAAACTGTGAAAAATCCCATCTGATTCATCTTATTCAATCCCCTTGAATCCCATTAAATCATATTCATCAATATTCATCGGATATTTTATCCCATTGAATCCCAGTAAATCATATTGAAATCCCATTTTTGAAATCACGAAATATCAAACCCATCAGCATTTTTCAGGGTGAACTTTTCGGTTCCTTCCAACTATGTGCCAGGCAAGACCCTGCGTGGTCTATTTACATGGCAACTGTTCCTCCCGACTGGAGGCGGGTTGACAGAGGGGGTGAGATGATTGGACTGATTCTCTTATACATATCCTACACACACATATATATATATATTATAATATAATATAATATAATATGATATAATTATATAATATTATATATATTATATTATACTATATTATATTATATTATATGATATATTACAATATTTAAATTAATATAATATGATCTCATATGATATGATCTGATATAATATGATATGATATGATATGATATAATATAGTATAATACAATATAGTATAGTATAATATAGTATAGTATAATATGATTTAATGCAATATAAAATAATATCAAACAAGATAATATAAAATAAAATAAAGTAATATAATATAATATAAATAATATAATATAGTATAATGTAATGTAATGTAATGTAATATTGTATCATATCATGATATGATATGACATGAAATAACATAATCTCATATGATATGATATGATTTAATATAACATGATATAATTTAGTATAATATAATATGTATGCATATAGTAATACATACATATATATATATTGATGGATGTATGTATGTATTTTTGGAGCAAATTGTCTGTTGAAGATCTTTGTTTCTTTTGAGTGGTGTTCTTCGCTCCTTTTTCCTTCAATATCTTGCGGGTGCAGTTGCACTACTTATATAACCATAGTTGTAGAGCTTACCCTCTGGTAAACAAAGATAGCTATTTCAAATGGCCATTTATAGTGGGAAAATCATAGGAAAAAAATCATAGGAGAATCATGGGAAAGCCATAGAAATAGTTGATTTACCCACAAACAATGGTGATTTTCCATAGCTATGTGAAAGTTTACCAGAGGGTCTATCCCAACTTATGGAGGCTATTAGGGAAGATTGCCATAGTTATATTCATGAATAACCCCAGCTGCATCCCACCAGTAATATTTGATTGAGTCAAACTCCTTCGAATGCTTTTGTCCATTTTATGGTGTATACCCCAATTTATGGCAACTTTCATGGAACAATTCGTTTTTTCAATGTTTTTAATCATCCACTACCCATATATCCCATGATATACCCATTGATATCGCCATCATACCCCCTTGTTGGGGAAGTGTCCGTTAAATTCTAACTCATGATATCCTCCTTTATATCCCATTAAACCATATAAGATCACCATTTTTTCTCCATTTATATACTGGATGGTAATCATCCATTATCACCGATCATGTCAACCTGTCATCAACCTCTTAACCTACGGACATCCCATGATCTTCCTATATTTTCTTGGTCAAATCGCCATTTTATCCATAAAAGAAGGTCGTTTCTTGGTCAACCAATTGGCTTGGGGACCCCTGGCCGGAGTCTCCACGAGTCTCCGCTAGGCCTTTGACGCGTTGCCGGTGCTGCTGCCGCAAGACGTCTCGGTGTTTTCCATGGATTTGTCAGGATCTGGCAGGTGCGAAACTGGTTGAGGAATACCATCTGGTTATGGCTAACATAGCCATGGAAAATCACAATTTTTAATATATAGGTAAACTATCTATAAATGGGCCATTTTCCATGGCTATGTTAAAAAACCAGATGGTAGATATGCTTCCCCCATATTTCAACCAAACTTCATTGAATCTTATTGGTTGATGATGAATATTGATGAGCATACCAAACCGGCCTGTCTACTTTTCCTAGAGGGTCCTCATATTGATAGCAGTAGCAGCCCCCCATTCTGCCGAAGTTGATCAACTCCGATTCTAAGTGAAGAATTATCAACTTTGGCATCTGGGAATTGGGATTACTAAATAAACCCTCTGGTACTTTCATCCAAATTGAAATTATAATGAATATACTAATAATTATATAAAACATGCAGATTCATGGTTATTATCACTGTTAATATCATTATTATTCACTATAGCTGTGGATAATTGATGAACATGGCACGTTGAAGTTCAATGATTGAGCCATTACTTTGATGTTGACTTTCCATGTTATTACCAGAGGGTAGATTTGATCTCAGCAAAGCTGGAAAGTTGACTGCTGTGCTAAACTGCCATTTGGGAATGGTTTCACACCACGATTTTTTCTGGTGAAACTTGGGGATGGTTGATGATTTTGGGTGTATCACGAGAATGTTCTGGCTGGTGGTTCTTGACAATTGCTTATCTCATGATCAGCCCTGGGATAAGAACCCAGGTAAAGCTTAATTTTTTGTTTCTTGGTTTTTGAGTTTCAATAAATAATTAAAAAACCTTGGTTTATTGGTGATAGAGTTTTTTTTTTTAATTGGCGATAATCATCATAATTTCTAAAGAAAATCTTGGTTGAAGTCCCATCAATCCCCATGATTCCCCATGATTCGCGAAAGGTAAAATTCGTGTCGGCGTCGACAGGTCTGATGGGGAGTACATCTCATTGGGCTACCATGAGGCGGGTGGCCACATGGCGCCGAGATGAAGTAACAGACGAGGTAAACGAGGGAAACGATGGTATGGTCACCAGCTAGGCTAAGAAATGGGGACAATCACCAATGTTTAGCCTCTGGTAAACTAACGTAACTATGGAAAACCACTGTTTTTAATGGGTAAATCCACTATAAATGACAATTTTCAATAGCTATGTTAGTTACCAGAGGGTATGATTAAAATTCCCCATGGTTTATTGGTGATTTAAACATGACAATCACTCTGATACCGCCATGTTGGTGATGAAATCCCATCACGATATGGTGATGCGCAATGGGAGATGATGGGTCAATAGCTAGGGTTACCAATTCTGGAGGAAGATCAATTCATGGAAAACCAACTATCCATGGATAATAATGGATGATTCATGGGATATGATGCATGCAGTGAACTAACCCTTAACTGGAAGCCAGCTGGCCTTTCTCCATGGTGATTATCAGGGTACAGAGCTGCTCACCATGATGCTCATGATGTTGGGAGACTCCGCAGATGCAGTGCCACGATTGGATCAAACAAGACCATGTATTTCCATGGAGCTAACTGTTTTGTGGGCATGGCCTGCTTTATGGATGGTAACAAGTATGTAAGTGAAACCGCGAACACCAAAGGTTTGTCAAGAGGTTGATGCCATTGGAAGGGATGAAATAAGAATAAATACTATCACTTCATTAACCCAAGAAATCTCCAGAAAAAAACACAATCATGAGTTTGCAGTGAGGTTGGGGGTTCTCGTTTTCCTTTGCTCTTTCTCTTTCAATCACAGATGGAATGCAACACTGAGGGGTAGAGTCAGAGCCTCTTAGTGTCTGAGTCTATAAATATCAAGCTGTGTCACAGGGGCAGAGCTGGGATTTTAGCAGGATCCGCAGTCCCTTGGTTTTTGGGTCGCCATAGTCATTTTTTCCATATTATTTAAGGGCAATCCGCAAATCCCCGCACTGCCCATAATTGCTGATCAGATCCGTTTGCGGGCATTTATTTTTGACTGGACACCCACTGAACATTAAGAGTTCATCACATAAATATATATATATATAGTTGAAATATATCGACCCCTGAGCCCCACTTTGTATAGCATAGGTAGTAGGTCATATGTAGAGCACTGCCGTAGCTATGATTCCATCCAATTCGAATAGCTATTCCCAATGTATGTACAGTTACAACAACACTTACTTAGAAGCGTTAGGTAAGTGTAAAGTAGCCATAATTAGAAACCGATATTCCCCTTTCCCTAACAACAACCTGGGTCAGGGTAATATGCTGTTGATGTTGTGGCTCAAGTGCGGAAAATAGCTCCGTGCTTGGTTTTTCATGTTGTATAAGGGTTGTGGTAGGAACGTATTTGGTTCGACCCCCCTTTTGTCTGGTTATCAGCCGTAAGGCTTGTTTTCTTGGTTGTTTTGCCTTTTTGGGGTTTTATTCCTACCACAACTGGTTTAGGCCCCTGGTTTCGCTTCGCTCACTGTCTTTCACTGTTGCATGCCTGCAGAAGGGTCGGACGAAGTCGCTGACGATTACGTCGCGACGGAAACACCAGCAAACGGATCCGAAGCGGCTGGTGAAGCAGAAGGTGTTGAAGAAAATCTTCCATCGACTGTTGAGCCGGTAGCTGAGGAGTCCAGAAACTGGGCCAATCTTTCTGAGGGGTCCACTGCGCCCGCGCCTTCTGGAGGACTTGAATTGACCCAGGTCAAGGAGGAAGTTCGAGAGGCCGAGTCGCTCAACGCGGTCCTTTCTGCAATTGGTGTTCCGGAGGTGGTCGCTGACGAGCCCGTCGCGACAGAAGGTGAGTTTGGACATTCGACTTCTGATCAAACATTTTTGGAGGTTCCCACAGACTTGGACAATCCAGCTGAGGCAGCTTTCACGGACCTTGATCAAGCTAAGGAGGAGGACGTTCAACCTGATCTTCAAGAATCACCTTCAGAGCACGTAGACATCGGAGTTGAAGAAGCTGATCATCAAGCTGAGACAACAGATCTTTTAGGTTTAGGTGACGAGGCGGGTCCAGTAGGAGAAGCATCCGTTGCATCCGAACCATCTGCACCCGTGCCTGAGCCTGCGGTCGCTGACACATCCGGTGTCGCGACAGAAGCCAACACTAGTTGCCCCGATCAAATAGTCCCACCACCAACTAGCCCTAATCTTGTTGAACCCGGCACCGAACCTATCCAGGTAGGCCATTCCCCCGCAACTTCATCTAATCCCCCACGCCAGAGGGTTAGGTCAAGTAGGGGTGGTGCCACAACCAGGTGGCAAGAAGCAAAGCGAGCTTGGTGGAACGACTTCGAGGCGTACCAAAATTGGCTTTATCATAATTCTGGAGGGGATATCGTAGGTGGCTTTTGGTTAAGAAAGATTTCTTACGAATACGCCGACGAAAGCACTCGCTGGTTGATAGCTCTTCATTCAAGACTTGTTGAGGAGTTCCCAACATCACAGTGTTTAGCTTTAGCCTATCAGATCCTCATCCCTTACAAAGAGTGGGCTCATACCTACGGTTTGGACAGGCGCAGAGGTACATCACACGCTGAGCAAGTGATTAACTCTGGTGAACTACCCCCAAAAAGGATCATCAATCAACGTATCTTAGGGGCAGAGCACCCGCGCCCAGAAGAGTGGGATAGGTATTATAGATACACAGGCCCACAGCAGCAACCCCGTCCAAAAGCGGAAAGGCCTGCTGCCGCAACACCCGTTGCTGGCGCGGCAAGTGGAAGCGCAGCTACAACTCCGGTCCAGCAAGGACCAAAAGAGCCTGGGCATCCACCGCCGAACTGGCAACCTTCTTTGAGAAGGCCACCTGAGCCAGCAGTGCCACCGCGTCCAAGGGTTACTGTCTCTGTCCATCCAGTCCCACAAGCACCAAAGTCAGATTCTCAAGGGGTCGCTGCCTTTGGGCGCGACGTAGCACCAGTCCCAGTTGCTAGCCCTGCTAAGCCACCAGCTAAGGCTAGGCCTAAAGCTCCTGATTCTAGTGCCACAACCCTTGCAGATAGAATTCAAAGTTTGCCACCTCCACCTAATAACATTCCCCCTAGTCCGACCCTTCATAAACAACCACCTTTACCACCACCACCATCTCATCCCAATGATCCACCACCTGAAGAGGAGCAGTGGGTGGAGGAAGAGGAGGAGGAAGAAGTTTTTGAGGAGGACCAGGTAGTTGAAGCTGAGGTTGAGGCGGAAGAAGAACCTGAATTCCCTGACTTTACAACAACCGAACACGGCCGTGAGGTTTCCACGCGCCGTCGTAGGCCTAAAAGAACTAGGTCTAACCCGCCATTGCCTGTCAATCTAGTCCCAAGGGAAACCCGTGAACGAATCGAACTTAATCAAGAACTTTATAGAGCCCGTGCCATAACCGGTGTTTCTAGAAGACCTCTTGCTTTAAGACCCCAAGTACACGGTTACCCCGAAATTAGAATTGACTCCGCTGGCACCTGGGCTAGGGTCGCTGATCCTCCGATCGCGTACGCGCCGCAGACTTTGCCGTTCATTGTGCCTCACGCCGCGGCACCAGAGCTCCGGGTCAACCCACACGAGCTTCCCGACTCGTTGTGGCGTGATCCTGCACTTAGATCCCATCGGACTGTTCTTGGTTCAAGTAATTTAGACCCCAATAGTGTCTATAATATTTCCACCAATAACCCCGATACCGAATCTGAGGGCTCTGAAACAGCTGAGACTCGAACCGCCAGGTTTGTTTCATCAGGTCAGACATTTGTCGGCCAGCAAGAACCGTTCGACGCTGGCTTCGCTGAGCGCACCCCTGCCCATCCAATTGAGTCTCCACCAAAGAGACAGCGTCCTAACATAAGAACCTCCCGAATCCAACGTGATAAGCCGGCACAGCCCAGAAAAGATCCAGTTTCTGCTGCACCACCACCAGCAGCCCCTACAGTACCATCTTTGACTGTTCCCCCATTAAGCAGTTCTAGTAGTTCAGCTTATCCTCCCTGGAGGCAGTCCTTGCAAAGTGCTGGAAGTGGGGTCGCTGACACAGCCCGTGTCGCGACAGAGACTGCATCAGAGCCAGCCGGCTCTCCCGTTGCCCGATCCAGATCAAGAGCACCCTCAGCCGAGACTGCGCCCGCAGTTGCTGCCAGAACAAGGGGAAGGGAAGTACCAATTTCAAATAAGATTTCATCTAAGACTCGCAAAAGAGCTAGTTCTGTTCCTGTGCCAATCCGTGCAAAGGGGGCTGCTGTCCCCGACACGCCCCAAAGGCCAGAACCCTTACCACCAGCTCCAGAGCCTAAGAAGAATCTGCCTTGGAAGCATCCGCCTGTGCACATTGCACCTGCGACGCCAGTTGCACCTGCTGCACCTGTGGTAATTCCCCCAAGACCTAATAGGCCTGTTCCCCCTAATCCAGCTAATCTCAAGCCCGTAAAACCCCCTCCGCCAGGAGTTAGTGGGCCAAGACCTGCTGGTCAACCGTCCCGAGATCTTCCTCCACTTGATCCCGAAGGACAGCAGCAGCCGCATCAAGAGCAAAGCTCAGGTTCTGGCCTTGCACCCCACGTCCGTGGGCGGCCTTTGCCTGACCCAACACCAGATCGGCCAGAGGGGGTCGCTGGCTCCGTGCCGCGACATTACCAGCACCAACCCAACTTAGTCTCTAAGGTAGTCCACGTTAATACATCCAACGTAGTTGTTTGCATCGACTGGCACGATACCATTGACCAGGCTCTCAACCCCGTAGGTGAATTGTCTTCCCACTTAGTTGATAAGCTTCGGTCACTGACTAGGATTGCTGGTAATCAAATCGAGTTCCACATTGTCTCATACGCCGGCCAATCCAAGATTGACAGCACCAAGGCCGGGGCTGAGCACGTGATTAGCCAGCTCATTGCGGAAGGATTGCCGTTTAGAGAAGTGCACCTGGCACGCTATCCTTGCGGTAGGCAGGGCAAATCCTCTATCATCTCTGCTCTTCAGGCACATTGTCTCATCGACGACC